TCCAGAGGGCATGGAGGAAGGTAGAATCTCCATTGAGTAGTATCCAGTCTGTCTAGGTGGGGCTGATGAAAGGAAATGTAGATAGGTCCCATGTGATACGATAGTGAATAATTGTTATCAGGACTGATTGTGAGGGTTGGAAATGTAAAGGTGGATGTTTTGTAGCAAGAAAGGTGTGATTAATTTTGCAGTCTAGGAGCGGAGATCCCTGGGACCATCAAGGAAGAGCAGGACCCTACTCATAGAAAGCAGTGATGCCAGAGATGGAGGCAGAGACGATGACGTGAAGAGATGGAGCAGCTAGGAACTTTAGACCCAGAGAGGCAGAGGGGCTGTGCGCTGACAATAGGGGGGCAGGCTTGAAGGGTATACCCTTTGGTTGGTTGATGATGCATGGAGGGGATTGTAACCATGGCAATGAAATTTTATATGATTCGATGAATATAAAACTTATGTTTTCCCATGTAAACTATCACATAATTCTCAATAAAACATTTTTAAAAAATAAACTTAAATTAAAAAGAAAGAACGTGAGGTGGCACTGGAGGCACTCACTCATCTATGTCAAGAAATATGGAAGGCAAGTATCTGGCCAACCGATTGGAAGAGTTTCATATTTGTGCCCATTCCAAAGAGAGGTGACCCAATGGAATGTGGAAATCCTCAGAAAATCTCTTTGATATCCCATGTGAGTAAAGTTTTACTAAAGGTAATACAGGAAACAGCTTCAAGCATACATTGACAGAGAACTTCCAAAAGTCCAAGCTGGATTCAGAAGAGGACGTGGAACAAGAGATATCATTGGTGATGAATGATGGATCTTGGCTGAATGCAGAGACTACCAGAAAAATGTTTACTTGTGCTTTATTGACTACACAAAGACTTTTGATTGTGTGGATCATGACAAGCTATGGACAACATTGCAAAGTATAAGTATTCCGGAATACTTAATTGTGCTCATGAGGAACCTGTACATGGACCAACAGGCAGTTGTTCGAACAGAACATGGGAACACTGAATGGTTTAAAATTAAGTAAGGTGTGTGACAAGGTTGTATTCTTTCACCATACTTATTCAACCTGTATGCTGAGCAAATAATCCAAGAAGCTGCGTTGTATGAAGAAAATTGTACCATCGGGATTGGAGGAAGACTCATTAACAACCTGCGATGTGCAGATGATACAACCTTGCTTGCTAAAAGTGATGAGGACTTAAACTATTTACTGGTGAAGATCAAAGAGAACAGACTTCAGTATGGATTGCATCTCAATGTAAAGAAAACAAAATAAACAACATTCTTATCAGTGGAGAAAGGATTGATGTTACCAAGGACTTCATTCTTCTTGGCTCAACCATCAACACTCATGGAAGCAGCAGTCAAGAAATCAAATGAAGTATTGCATTAGGTAAATCTGCTGCACAAGACCATTTTAAAGTCTTAAAGAGTAAAGATGTCAGCTTGAGGCCTAAGGTGCACCTGACCCAAGCCATGATATTCTCAATAGCCTCATATGCATGCGAAAGCTGGACAATGAATAAGGAAGACCATAGAAGAATTGATGCTTTTGACTTACGGTGTTGGAGGAGAATATTGAAAGTGCCATGGGCTGCCAAAAGAACCAACAGATCCCTTTTGGAAGAAGTGCAGCCAGAGTGCTCCTTGGAGGCCAGGATAGCCAAACTTTGTCTGTCATGCTTTGGACTTATTGTCAGGAGGGACCAGTCACTGGAGAAGGATATCATGTTTGGTAAAGTGGAGGGTCAGAGAAAAAGAGGATGACCCCCAGCGAGATGAATTAGCAAAGTGGCAGCATCAATGAGTTCAAGTGTGGCAACAATTGTGAGGTTAGCCCAGGACCAGGCAGTGTTTCATTCTGTTGTGCATAAGGTCACTATGAGTCAGTACCAACTCAATGGCACCTAACAACAACATATTTACCACACACACACACAAAAAAAGTCATTTTAGAAAATATAGAAAGCAAATATTATAAACTGTTAACAATTGTTGGATCTAAGTATAGGTTCTTAGAACACTTATATAATATTTATTGTAATTTTCTCTGTGTTGGAAAGTTTTTACTATAAAAATTGGGAAGGGGAATAATCTCCCTGAGCATAAAATTCATTAGTTGAGCCAGCAATTGGGTTTCACAATTACCTATTTAAGTCAAGGAAGTGTTTCTGTTCTCAACATTGAAGATAATATTTCAGAATACCCAGGAAGGGTTGACAATAATGGTAGCATTATGCCTACAAATTATATTAAACTTGTGTCTCCACACCCTTTGTTGCAGTCACTTTCGGTGTTGAAAAATGCAGGAACTGTGCCATCCATTGCATTACTGCAAACATGGGTAAAATGTAGCAAATACTCACCTGTTGCCACACCTCTGTCTGGCACCTGTATAAGCATCACAAGGTGTGGGAGGACACAAGGAAGCAAAAGTATTTAAGAGACAACAGCTAACAGACAAGCTTAGCTTGCTTCAGTCCCTGTAAGGACAAACAAGTGTGTGAAATTTCTACAGGTAAGATTTAGATCCCATCCATGAAGACAGGATCTTTCCATTTACTTAGGTTTTCTTTCATTTCTTTCAGCGAAGTTTTGTAGTTTTCAGTATATGACTCCATGCTATCAATTGTCAACTGTACCTGAGGTGATGGGTGAACCCCATACCATGATGGTGGTGATTGTTCTTGTTTTGTGCCATTGAGTCAGTTCTAACTCATAACAACCCTTTATAGGATTTCCTAAAGTGGCTGCTGAGTTTGAACTGCTGACCTTGAGGTTACCAGTCCAGAGTTTTTCCTACAGAGCCACACAAAGGTTCTACCATGTTGATATTAGTGGCCTTTGCCATTATAGCAGGCTGTCCTTTTCCCAGAACAACCCCTAATATGTCAATAGAACATTTCTGTTTGGGGCAATTCTCTTATATTTTATATATTGTTTTACACTTTAAAATTCTTAATTATTTTATGTAGATATTAGGAAACCTTATACAGAGTCACTATGAGTCAGAACTGACTCAATGACACTTAACAGCAACAAACAACACCATGGGGTCCTGGTATGGTGCCGTAGGATAAGTGCTCAACTGGTAACTGCAAGGTCGTTGGTTCAAACACACCTGTCATTCACTGGAAATCCAATGAGTGACTTGATGGTACTCAATAACAACCATAGTGGTAGTGGTTGTTATTTTTTCAAGTGGTTGTGATTTGTTATATTTTGATGTCATAGAAGTGAATGCTTAATAGCTACATGAAATAACTGAGAATGTCTAAGTGTAACAGAAGGAGCTCTGGTAGCATAGTGGTTGCGAATCGGGCTGCGAACCTCAATGTCAGCAGTTCAAAACTACCAGTTGTTCTGCTGGAGAAAGATGAGGCTTTCTGCTCCTGTAAAGATTTACAGCCTTGAAATCCTGTATAGGGTCACTATGAGTCGGAACTGACCCTACAGCATATAACAACAACAAGTGTAACAGAATATGATTACCAAAATTCAAGAGTGTTGTCAAAACCAGAAATGCTCTGTTGATATTTTAAGGGTTTTTCTAGGAAAAAGACAGCCTTGTGTAATAGCAAAGGCCCTGGACTGCAATTCAAGACATGTCTGTTCTTGATCCTGACATTGCCTATTTTAAGAGCCAGCTGTATAACTTTGAATAGTCACTTAATCCTGTGTGTGTTTCAGTGTCCTCACTATGGAACAGTAATCATTATACCTGGTTTGACTCTACCCAGAGGGATACTGTCAGGATCAGGTGAAATTTATAAAGGTTTTATCTATATTACAATAGTATTTCTAGACTATTGAGAAACTGACTAATAACATCTAATTTCTATTGAATTATGAGGTCCTCAAGTATATTTGTATAGTAAAATAAAACAAACAAACTAAGACTTAGAGGTCTTGGTTTACTTGTAACACAAGGCAGGGACAGGAGTAAGTTTCTTAAAAACTGTCTCTCTTTAACTATAAAGCTGCCCTGATTATCTATGACCTATCTAAAGGTCAAATTAGATTGTGCACACAAAAGTACCTTATAAAATCAAAAGGTTCTTGCTAGCATAAAGTAGTTTAACATTATTATTTATACAATGTAAGACTTCAACAATTTTAGTAGTTGCTAAAATACATATATTGGAAAAATGCTGTTTGAAATGTAAATACTAAATGCTTTATGTAGATTTCAATTTCGTCATTATGTAGTTGATTTGTAAGTTACCTTTTTCATTATTAGGATATACCATTCTTCAAATGTTTGACATGGATGGGATTGTGGACACTGCCAGTGTTTTGGGAAAATTTCTATATTACTTTTTAGAATCTTTAGCTTACAAGATATTTCCCAAGAGAAAAAAGAGTGTTGCTGGAGAAATTGTACTTATTACTGGAGCTGGAAGTGGACTTGGGAGGCAGTTGGCCATAAAATTTGGTCGTCTTGGAGCTATTTTAGTCCTATGGGACATTAATAAAGAAGGCAATATGGAAACAAGTAAACTAGTCAAGGAAAATGGTGCTGTGAAAGTATTCACCTATACATGTGACTGCAGTAATAAGCAAGAGGTCTACAGTGTTGCTGAACAGGTAAGTTGACTGACTAACAAACTTTAAATCTGGTGTGTATGTTTCACAACAAAAAGAGGAAAGTAGGTTTTCACAAGTGTGCCCAAGGTCTCTAGGTGTCCCCTGTTGAGTTTGCATGTCAGAAATCGGACCTTGTATCTTCCAAAAAGGGAATGCATCAGACAATACATGTAAGAATTTGGCAAGCCATCTGAGCCCAACACTGTTCAATTGCTTTTCTTGGTGACTGATTCACCTTCAAGAGTAAATAGAAATAGGACACGATCCTGGCTCTGCCAGATATTAGTTGTGCAGTTTTACTAAGTTACTTACCTTCTCTACTTTTCAGTTTCTTTACATGTAAAATGAAAGACTCCAACTAGATGATCTTCAAGGTCACTTCTTCCTTTAATTTTCTGTTTGTTAGTTTTTTAAACTCTGCCATCTATACACTATTGTCATATACTGAGAACATAAACATTATGAAAATGTTTAGCATATTTGTACATTAAATTTCCTTTTAGACTTAGCCTATTGATATGTGTCCTAACTTGGCACTAAATATCGATAAATAATGATACCAGTTATCATTTCTTGTGTAGTTATCACGTTTTCTAATAACAATGATTAAACTTTTGAGTAGTTACTATTCTAAGCACATTACATATAATAACTCATTAATCAACACAACATGGCCCTACTAAGTGTATATCATTAATGTCATATCCATTTACAGATGCAGAAATTAAGGAACTAAGGAACGCTTGCCATGTTTACAAATTTAATAACATGTCCAAAATATGTGAGAAAAGACTCACCATTTTATTTTCTTAGACCTTACATACAAGAATTTCAGCCAATCATAGACATTATTCAAACCCCTAAAATTTCTTCCACCACTCATCTGTCAACTTGTCACACTGTGGTGTCTTGAGTGCTGCTGTGATGCTGGCAGCTATACCACCAATATTTTGAATGCTAGCAGGGTCAGCTAAGCTTCCAAACTAAGACAAACTAGGAAGAAGGAGAGGCAGATGACTTCCAAACATTTAGCCACTGAAAACTTTATAAATAGCAGTGGAACGCTATCAGATAGCACCAGAATACTGAATATTGAAACGTTATGAGTAGCACCAGAATGTTTCCAGATATACTGCCAGAAGATGAGCCCCTCAGATTAAAGAGCACTCAAAATACAGCTGGGAAGAGCTGCCTCCTCAAAGTAGAGTTGACCATGATGACACCAATGGAATAAAGCTTTTAGGATCTTCATTGGCTGATAGGGCACAACTCAAAATGAGGAAAAACATTTGAAGACATCTATTAATAATGTGAATATGTATGAAATGTGAATCCAGGAAAATTGAAAGTTGTCAAAATGAAATGAAGTTCATAAACATTGATATCCTAAATATTTGTGAGCTAATATGGATTGGTATTGGTCATTGTGAATCTGACAATCATATGGTTTACTATGCCAGGAATGACAAATCGAAGAGGAATAGCATCACATTCATTGGCAAAAAGAACATTTAAATGTCAATCTTGAAGTATAACACTGTGATAGGATAATATCCATATGCCTACAAAGTAGACCAGTTAATAACACAATTATTAAAATTTACATACCAACCATTAAAGCCAGGAGTGATGAAATTAAACGATGCTACCAACTTCTTCAGTCTGAAATTGATCAAACATGCAGTCAAGATGTATGGATAATTACTGGTGATTGGAATGTAAAGGTTGGAAACAAAGAGAAAGGATCAGTCATTGGGAAATATGACCTTGGTGATAGAAACAATGCTGGACATTGTATGATAGAATTTTGCAAGACCCAGTGACTTTGTCATTGCAAATACCATTTTTAAACAGCATAAAAGATAACTATACACATGGACATCACCAGATAGAATGCACAGATATCAAATTAACTACATCTGTGGGAAAATTCCATATCGTCAGTCAAAACAACGCCAGGGGCAGACTGTGGAACAGACCATCAGTTGTTCATATACAAGTTCAGAATGAAGCTGAAGAAAATTAAAACAAGTCCATGAGAACCAAAATATGACCTCGAAAATATCCCACCTGAATTTGGAGATCAGCTCAAGAACAGATTTGATGTATTAGACACTCAGGACCGAAGACCAGAAGAGTTGTGGGATGACATCAAGAATAGCCTACAGGAAAAAAACAAAAGGTCATTAAGAAGACAAGAAAGAAGGAAAAGACCCAAATGAATATTAAAAGAAACTCTGAAACTTTCCCTGCAGTGTAGAGATGCTAAAGCAAAAGAAAGAAATGAGGAGGTAAAAGAGCTAAACAGAAAGTTTCAAAGGGCATCTCTAGAAGACAAAGTCAAACATTATAATGAATGTGCTAAGACCTGTAGTTAGAAAACCAAAAGGGAAGAACACACTCAGCATTTCTCAAGCACAAAGAACTGAGGAAAATTTAAAGTCTCAACTTGCAATACTGAAGGTTTCTATGGGCAAAATATTCAGTGATGCAGAAGACATCAAAAAAAGATGGAAGAAATACAGAGTCACTGTACCAAAAAAGAAAAAGTGGTCAATGTTCAACCATTTCAAGAGGTAGCATATTATCAAGAGCCAATGGTACTGAACAAAGAAGTCCAAGGTGTATGAAAGCATTGGCAAAGACCAAGGTTCCAGAAATTGATGGACTACAAATTGAAATATTTTCAACAAACTGTTGAGGCACTGGAGTCACTCACTCATCTATGTCAAGAAATATAGAAGACAGCTACCTGGCCAACTGACTGGAAGAGATCCTTATCTGTGCCCATTCTAAAAAGAAGTGACCCAACAGAATTCGGAAATCATCGGAAAACATCATTAATATCACATTCAAGTAAAATTTTCCTAAAGATAATTCAAAAATGGCTGCAACAGTACATTGACAATGAACTACCAGATGATCAAGCCAGATTCAGAAAAGGATATGGAATGAAGGATATCACTGGTGATGTCAGATGGATATTGGCTGAGAACAGAGAATACCAGGAAGATATTTACCTGTGCTTTATTGGCTGTGCAAATGCTTTCAATTGTGAGAATCATGGCAAGCTATGGACAACATTGAGAAAATGGGTGCTCCAGAACACTTTATTGTGTTCATGGGGAACCTGTACGTATATCAAGAAGAAGTCTTTTGAACAGAACAATGGAACACTGAATGATTTATATAATCAGGAAAGGTGTCAGCCAAGGTTGTATTCTTTCACCATACTTATTCAATCTATGGAGTCCTGGTGTGGTAATGTGGGTTAATGCACCAGACTTCAAAGCCGTTTGAACTGCAAGGTCATCAGTTCAAGCTTACCAGCTGCTCCTCAGAAACCCTACACAGGGTTGTTATGAGTCAGATCCAACTCGATGGCACGTAACAACAAAACATTCAATCTATATACTGAGCAAATAATCCAAGAAACTGGATTCTATGAAGAAGAACCTGGCATCAGGATTGGAGGAAAGCTCATTAACAACCTGCCATATGCAGATGATACAACCTTGCTGGCTGAAAATGAAGAGGACATAAAATATTAACTGATGACGATCAAAGACCACAGCCATCGGTATGGGTTTCACCTTAGGGTAAAGAAAACAAAAATCCTCATCACTGGATGAACAATTAACACCATGATAAATGAAAAGTGACTGAAGCTGTCAAAGACTTCATTTTGCTTGGATGTACTTTCAATACTCATGGAAACATCAGTCAAAACAATATATTGCATTAGGCAAATCTGCTTCACAAGATTCCTTTAAATTCTTCAAGTGCAAGGATGTCAGTTTGAGGATTAAGGTGTGTCTGAATCAAGCCATGGTATTTTCAACAGCCTCATACGCATGTGAAAGTTGGACAATGAATAAAGAAGACCCAGAAGAATTAATATATTTGATTCGTGACATTGGAGAAGACTATTAAAAGTACCATGAACTGCCAGAAGGAAGAAGTACAATCAGAGTGCTCCTTAGAAGTCAAGATGGCAAGACTTCGTCTCCCATACTTTGGATATATTATCAGGAAAAAAGAGGTAGACACCCAACAAGATGGATTGGCATAGTGGCAGCAGTAATGGGCTCAAATGTAGAAGAAACAATTGTGAGGTTGGCACAGGAAGGGACAGTGCTTAATTTTGTTGTGCATAAGGTCGCTATGAGTCGATGGTACCTAACAACAAGAGCAACAACAAAATATACTGATGATTTAAATAGTAATGACTACATTCTAAAGGATGCAATAATTAACTTCCCAATATTAGAATGAAGTAACAGTCTCATCTCCAACATAGAAATCCAATTTACAAATATAGATTTTTTAAAAAGGATAACTATGTTTACATTTTATTCAAAAATTTTAATATCTATATGTGTGGGGGGGTGTATGCATGTGTCCATGCACAAGTCCAATTGCATGAAATTTGTTTTTCAAAATAATAGTGATTTTGGTGTGAGAGTAGTAAGTTTGAGTGAAAAGAACTTGAGATATTGAATCTAAATAGTGTATGAATTGCTATTATTCCTGTCAAAAATTATGTGTCCTTTGATCAAATCTTAACCTCTAGGGACCTCTGTTTACTCATCTATAAATTATGATAATAATACCTTCCTAAGTTACTACCTTCCAGAGTTAACAATGAAAATTAAATCTCCTGACCTCTGTATAGTTCCGCTTGACTCTGGTTTCCCTAAATCTCAGGATTCTTCTTAGAGAGGGTTATGGGGACCTGAGCATTCTAGGTTAATTTGTCTTCAGTATTCAGCAACTTCTTATGCCAAGTATTTCATCTTCTTATCTATGATCTGTCTTCAGCCCATATTGATCTAAAATTTAGCCCCTATTCATACTGATTATTTCATCAAACCAATGGAATATCTTCCTTTAAAAGTCAGCATCTCATGAATGCTTTCTTCTATCTTATGTATCTAATGAAGTTCTGGAGTGGTGCTGTAGGATAAGCACTAGACTGCTAACCGCAAGGTCAGTGGTTCAGACCCCCTAACCACTTTTTAGAAAGCCTATACAGGGTTGCTATGAGTTGGATCTGATTCGTTGGCATGTAACAACAATAGTAACAGCATCCTGGCACTATCCAAAATAGAAGAAACTAACTCTTTCAACTCAAGGTCAATTCGGCAATATTAACTCTTCCTTTCATAGCTCATCTAAATCTACTACATCAGCAGCAATATTTACATTGTATCTTCATACTGTGTCATTTTGTTGGCTGAATACATAGCTGTGCATGTACTAGAAATTTAAAACCCAATCAAGGCAGGTAGTGCTTTTTGTTTTTTGTTGTTGTTTTTTTTTTTTTTTTTTTTTTTTTGAAACAAAGGAACAAACCAGAGCTTCAAACCAGTTCATTCTGTTTCAACCCCTGCTGATAATTTGCATCCTTACCCCAGATACATGGAATCAGAATCTACATTTTAACATAAGAAAATGTATACATGATAATCACCTGGGGATCTATAAAAATAACCTGGAGAATTTTTTTAAACTGTAGGTTCTAATTCAGTCAGTATACCTGGGGTGGTTGGTCATGTGCCATGGAGTGGGTTCCAACTGATAGCGTCCCTGTATAGGTTTTCCAATTGAACAAAAGGAAGAACAAATGATGACTTGCAAAAAGTCAAAATACATGCTTCCAATAAATTAATTCCTTTTTGCTTCCATCTGTGTAGGTTAAAAAAGAAGTTGGTGATGTGGCAATCCTCATTAACAATGCTGGAATCGTGACAGGAAAACTGTTTCTTGATGTTCCTGATAATATGGTGGAAAAATCATTTCTCGTTAATGTCTTGTCTCATTTCTGGGTAAAATGTCTTTATTTTTAAATTTTCTTTTTTAAGTATGAAAATTACATAAGACAGTAAGTCAAAAGCATTTCTACTAGGGTTCCAGTTCATACCTGCACAGATTTACCAAATCAGACTTGCTTAAGCATGTCTCTGCAATCAGTGAATAACTGCAGACAAGTTACCTTAATCTAGTTAGGGTGCCTTCAGAAACAAGGGCCAATCAAAGCAGTAGCTTCTGAGGGGATCTGCTGCAATAATTCAATACAAAGCAGAGAGGTCAGCTTACATGGTTATTGTGACTGTTGTTGGAAACCCAAAGGGAAATTCTTGATAGATTTTCTCTAAGGACACAGTACAATCACAAAGCCTTATTAGGAACAAGTTTCTACATTGGTGAGAAAAAAACCAGGAAAATTATGCCAAGGAACTTTGTCCATCACAACAGTACCCCTGCCTATTCTTCAAGGGTAGCAAGGGTTGTCTTAGGAAAATTTCCTTGGGAAACCTTACCCCATCCACATTACAGTCCTGATCTTGGCCTTTCAGATCTCTTTTTGTTCCAAGAACTCAGAGTATTTAAAAGGAACAAGATTTGAGTCCCTCAAGGATGCCAGAACTATCATTATTGTTGTTGTTAGGTGCCATCAAGTCAGTGCCGACTCATAGTGACTTTATGCACAACAGAACAAAACACTGCCCAATCCTGGGCCAACCTCATTATTACTGTCACGCTTGAACCCATTGATGATTTGGCCAATCCATCTCGTTGGGGGGCTTTTTCTCTGACCCTCCACCTTACCAAACATGATAATCCTTCTCTAGCGACTTGTCCCTCCTGACAATATGTCCAAAGTATAAGAGACAAAGTTTGACTATCTTAGCCTCCATGGAGCACTCTGGCTGGTTCTATGGGCAGCCCATGGCACTTTCAATACTCTCCTCCAACACCATCACTCAAAAGCATCAATTCTTCTATGGTCTTCCTTATTCACTGTCCAACTTTCACATGTGGCATAAATTGAAAAACACAGAATTCTTCCGAGGAAAGATTAGAGAGATGGAAATACTACCTTCAGAAGTGTATAGGCCTAGATGGAGAATATGTTAAGAAATAATAATTTCACATTTTGGTGTTTTTATTTTTAACAAAGGTTTCTATGATTTCATAGCAATATATATATATTTTTACTTTCCTTGTATATTTGTAGATACAGCATGCCACTAGAGTGACAAAAGTTAACTCAAGGGTACAAAAGTTAACAACCTCATGAGTATATATACTTTGACAACATAAAAGATTTTAATACTCTTGTTTATAACAGACTGACTATTACAAGACTAATTTCCTAGTGTGGTGGTAAGATAAACACTGGACTGCTAACCAAAAGATTGTTCAAACCCACCAGTCACTCCTTAGAAACTCTATCAGAGTAGCTATGAGTTGGCACCAACTAGAGACTCCACAGCACATAACAACAACAGAGGGCACTTAACACAACAACAATGTTAAACTACCAAGTCCCTCATCTTCTTCATATGTGTTTCTTTTGGTTATTAAGTTTAATATGCATCTCCGTACATGTGTGAGCTTGTTGTTGTTGTTAAGTGCCTCTAGTCAGTTCTAATTCACAGCAACCCTTTATAGGGTTTCCAAGTCTTTAAAGGGAGAAGAAAGCCTCATCTTGGTTCCATTGGATGACTTGTGGGCTCGAACCACTGACCTTGTGGTCCACAGTCCACTGCTATCTTGCAGAGCCACCACACTCTCATATCAACATATTTTTGCTGTTGTTAAGTGCAGTCAAGCTGGTTCCAATTCATAGCAACCCTGTATAGGGTTTCCAAGGAGCAGTTGGTGAGTTTGAACCACAACCTAGTGCTTATCCTACAGTGCCACACCAGGACTCCAATTAACATATTGTTGTTGTTGTTGCTAAGTGCTGTCGAGTCGATTCCGACCCATAGCGACCCTGTACAGGGTTTCTGAGGCTGTAAATCTTTATGGGAGCAGACCACCTCATCTTTCTCCCGCGGAACCACTGGTAGTTTCAAACTGCCGACCTTGAGGTTCCCAACCCGATTCGTAACCACTACGCTACCAGAGCTCCTTTAAGGGGCTTCAAAAAGCTAGTGGAAAATTAGAATTGAGAAGCAGTGAAATTTTCCACAAAATTTTTGAAGCCCCCTAGTGTTAGAAGATACCAATAAATACCACACTGAATTTGCCATCTTAATTCAAATAGCAGGTAAAACCGTTTTTGGTGATTCAATAACTTTGCTCATGAAGTCTCCAAGCCCTGTAAGTTGACACTGCACAGCAACACAGTCACTGATACTTAAAAAAAAAAAAAAAAGAAACTTATCAAATAAATGACATTGAAAAATAGTGAAAACCAGTGGAAATGATTTACAGTATTTTCTCAAGTTCAAAATTATGAAATCCCATTTTTCACAATTAACTCATCATTTGCTATGAATATTCAATTTAATTGAACACATATATGCATTCTTCTAACTTGAAATATTTTGTGGTAACAGTGATAGATTATCTAACCCATAAATAATTGTGAAGAATTTTAGGAAGCTCACTAATTAGTTTCTATGAAAAAAAACAAGTCTTGGACCAAATACAATAAGTGAACCTGATGCTTGTTTTCATTACATCCTACCCAGTGATAAATCAGAGAAAAGAGATACAGCTGCTAATTTTCAAAAAATGAACTTCGTTGATGAATTTAGGGGGAAAACGCCCAGTTCTGAGGTCTGGGTGTGTTGGAAATGCATGCACTGCTAACCACAAGTTCAACAGTTCAAACCCACCAACCACTCTTCAGAAACCCTATACAGGATTGCTGTGATTCAGAACTGACTCAACAGCGCTTCACAACAACAACTGATAGAAAAAAGCCCAGTCCCTGTGTGGTTCAAATGGTTAAATGCTCAACTACTAATAAAAAGTTTGGCAATTGGAATACATCCAAAGGTGCTATGTAAGAAAACCCTGGCAATCTGTTTCATGAAGGTGGCAGCCCTAAAAACCCCATGGAGTCATTCTATTCTACATACATGAGAATGTTGCCATGAGCAGGCATCAATTCAACAGCAATTGACTTGTTTGTTTATTTTTTCTTCTTTTATTTATTTATTTATTGGGAGAAGAAGGAAAGGAAACGATCCCTGAGAGAACCTAAGAAACATAGGAATTGAATTTCTTCATGAATTTCTCAGAGACTTAGGTCACTGAATTAATATCTTACCTGAGAATGAATGATTGAATTTGACAAAAATAGCTAAGAATATATCTAGCTATATATTCTTATTCCAAAGCATTTTACTTAACAAAGCATGTTTCTCTAGCACTAAAATTCATCCTTCCACAAATGATTTTCTCCATTTTGGCAGTCCAGTAGGGTGAAGTGGAATCTTGTTTATGATAAAGTCAGAATCTTAGCAAGCCATAATATATAATATGCTCATTTCATTCAATTGATACAGCTTACTTAAAAAGAAAACAAATCAAATGGTATATCTTACAGATTTGCATATAATAAACAGCATGTTTATATATGGTGTGGCACTGTGAGATAATATACTGGACCACAGGGTCAGTTTGAACCACAAGGTCAGCAGTTCAAATTCACCAGTTGCTCCTCAGAAACCCTAAACAAGGTCTCTAGGAGTTGGAACAGACTCAAAGTCATCTAACAACAACAACAGCAAGATCCTTAAGGACAGTGACTACATAGTTCTTACCTTTGTGCTGATACAGAATTTATTATATCATAAATGTTTAATATTTATTCAGTGAACTCGTAAGTTCATTAAATATTTACTGAGCAAATAAAATATTCTCACTGTGTATTTATATTTTCTAGATTTATAAGGCCTTCCTTCCTGCCATGATTAAAGCTAACCATGGTCACTTGGTCTGTGTTTCAAGTGCAGCGGGACTATTTGGTTGTAATAAACTAACAGGTGAGTACTATGCTTTACCTGTGCCCTTGTACTCCACAGTAGCTGACAACCAAAAATTGGGACTCTTCCAGCATAAAAGGAATTTTTACTGCATCAAGGGGAAGCTCTTTGGTACATTTGGCTGTACTTGTAATGCCAGCATTCCCTTCTACTTCCCTATTTTAATGGCAATGGTAAAGGGAAATATTTCCCAGTTTTTTAAAACCAAAAAGAAGAATACATCTATTGACTCATTTGTCTTTATGGATTATGAGAAATTGAGGTAATTCTATCTGACATTTATTCAGTGACTTGATGTTGAGTATATGGTGTGGAGATGAAATACTGTTGGCCATATAAATTATTTTAACAGTAACAACACCAAGGACAATTCTGAAAAAAGGGTAGAAGTGGTATCATTTTTTATAAATTGTTTCAAGAATTACTAATGGCTGTCCATTTTGTTACAGATTATTGTGCAAGTAAATTTGCAGCCTATGGTCTTACAGAGTCTCTCTTCTTTGAATTAAGTTTACAAAGAAAAAATAAAATTAAAAGTACCATCATCTGCCCATATTTCATGAACACTGGAATGTTTGAGGGTTGTTCAACCAAGTAAGTAAAAGTTTATGGTAATCTTTACTCTTAAAATAATCATCTAATATCTATCAATCACCATCTCATTATTTTGAGATTCTGAAATATAGACAGTAAAGCAAAATAAATAATTTGATTGCCTAATTTTGTAATAGCAAAAGATTCCAAGATTATTAAAATATCAACTTTAAAGATAATAACATATTTTAAAAGTTCATGGTATACTGAATAAAAAGTTAAAAATACTAAGCATGATACTACAATGTAATAAGAAAAATGGTAGTTAAAAGTGGTAAAATATTTAGCATTGTAGTATTGAGAAGATAATTTCTTACCTGAAATAAAAATTTTAAATACTGAAAAACAAATAATACAAAAGTAATAGTATTTGTAATATTTATTAAAGCATGTGATGATGTATTAAAAAGTGACATTTTGGCATGAAGGTCAACTTTGGCTAAAACAGTGCAAACTAAGGTGCAAATGAAATATGAGATGTTTTAAGCAAGGTAGCTGATCAGTAGAATACATTGAAAAGTATCAACTTTATGTATGGACAAGTGAAGACACACTATGTTTGTCCAAAAGGGGGACTGGCATGATCCAAAATGGAATAAATCAACTATATTTGTAGGAAAGAGAAACATCCAACAAAAAGCCTACCCAAAAGGCAGGAAGTCTATATAGAGTTTATTAAAGTTATAAAGTTAAATACAAAGTGTCAAAACAGGTGAAGAGTAGAAAAGGAGTAAAGGAGAATGAGATTCTTCTAATAATTGTGTGAGGAGCTCATGGAAACCTTTCCCCCAAAGACATTAAGCCGGTTAAAATTAGCAATGACAATTATTCAAAATCTCTACAAACTGATTAAAGAGCTTACAGCAAATATAAAAGCATTTATTCAACAAAATCTGTGGAAACCAGGTAAGAACATGGGAGACCATGCATTGGAGCTAGGGACTTCATGTATATGCCCCGTATACATGTATATGCCATGCATAATAACTGTTTCAGAAGGCTTGGCAACCAAGCTCCTTCATATCGAAGAACTATTGTGGGTGTTTGGGAAAGCAAATGAACATCAGCAGATCCCATTTTTCACAGCTCCATGCTGTGGAAGGCTCATAAAGGAGGGGCTAGCAACAGTCAGACAGCACTTGTTCCTCCAACCTGCACTTCTACTAAGCAAGGAAGAGTCTAGTAAACAGTACAGTTCCTCTTTCCAGCACAGATCTGTGCTAAAGAGAGCTGCTCCAGTGGGATCAACAACTGAGTGGCAGCTCCAATCTCCCAGAGCTTTCTAGAGTAGAAGACCTATTTGGAATAGATTTGCCAGTGAACATCAGCAGATTTTATCCCCTAGGCCCTGGGCTGCAGAGAATCCATACTGGGTGGTGGAAGCAACGAGGTAGCAACACTACTTCCTGGGACCCCTCTCCCTCAGATTCTGCTCCATAGGGACAATTTAGGGCAACCAGTAATGAGGGAATTTCCCATTGCCCCCACCTCCTGATATATAGTGCAGAGCTTCTGCCAGGGAAAAGTCAAAGCTAACCTCAAAGACTGGCAACTCTTTGTCTCTGCCATAGGATCTAACTTCAATTAGATCAGACCACTCCTCAAGGATTGTCAAAAAGAATGTCGCAACCAGCTAGCAAATTGTGAAGTTTAAATGTTGAGTGAGGCAGACTAGTCAAATCTCAATCAAGAAAAAAAAAATCAAAAAGAGTGTGAAAGAAAAGAGTCTGGCTAGAATACCAGTTATCCTGGTCAGGAAGACTGAGTTCAAACCCAAGATTTCATCCTCTGAAGAATAACATCAGAAGCTACAAATTGGATGGGGATAGGTTTCATTGAACAGACTTGACTATAAACAATTAAGCAAACAAACAAAAATAAAACTAAGTCCCACAGGGAATAACTATACAGAATTGATACAATTAATTATCTAAAATTCCAGTTTTTAACAAAAAAAATATGAGACATGCAAAGAAACTGGAAAGGGTGGTTTATAAATGGGGGGAAGTAGGCAATAGATTATATTTAATATGGCACAGATTTTGGACTCATCAGATGAATCTCAAAGCAACTATTATATATATGTTCTCAGATGTAAAGGAATCCATGCTTAAGGAATAAAAGGAAATCATAATGACAATGTCTCATCAAATATCCATGAAAAGAGCAATTATAAAAATAAGAATCAATGTAAATAGTGAAGTTGAAAAGAATATTAACTGACACGAAAATTAGAATAGCTGACAAAGGAAAAAATCTGTAAACTTAAAGATATATCAGTGGATAGATAGATATGCAATCGAAAGAAAAGGGAGAAACAAGAATGAATAAAAATAAACAGTTTCAAAGAATCACAAGAAATCATTATGCATATATCAATATGCATGTGAGTCCTGGTATGATGCTGTAGGATAAGAACAGGACTGCAAGGTCGGTTTGAACCACTAGGTCAGTGGTTCAAACTCACCAGCCATTCCTTGGAAACCTCATACACGATCACTATGAGTCAAACCAACTCTACAGCACTTAACAACAACATATGTTGATTGGTGTGCTGGTGTGGTCTGTAGGATAAGCACAATACTGCAAAACACAAGGTCAGATGTTCAAACCCACCATCCACTCCTCAGAAACCTTATATAGGGTCACTATGAGTTGAAACCAACTCAATGGCACTTAACAACAACAATGTATGTTGATTACCATGAAGAGAAGAAACAGAAAGAAACAGAAAACATTCCAATTTAAAAAAAAAGGTGGAAACTTTCAAATATGGCAGAGAACATTAATCTGTATCTACGTAGGATAAACACAAAAGTCCTCACACCCAGACATATCATAATGAAAATGTTGAAATCAAAGATAAGTGAAAATCCTGATGAAAGGAGCTAGATTAAAAATGACCCATCATGTATAAGGGGACCTCAATAAGGTTAGCAACTGAACTATCAGCATAAATAATAGAATCTAGAAGTCACTGAGATGATACATTCAAAATTCTTAATGATTAAAAACTACAAAGAATCATCTTCTTTAAAGCAAAATTTATAAAGTACTAACTATAAGCCAAATACTATAATAAAATATGCAAAGATTTAGAGTTAGAAAACCAAAAGGGAAGAACACAGTCAGTATTTCTCAAGCTGGGGGAACTGGAGAAAAAATTCAAGCCTCGACTTTCGCTATTAAAAGATTCACTGGGCAAATTATTGAATGATGCAGAATGCATCAAGAAAAGATGGAAGGAATACAAAGAGTCATTGTACCAAAAGGAAATGGTTAATGTTCAAC